TTCCAGGTCAATTTTCCACTGTAGGACCTACCTGGGATAGACTATTCAAAGGCAAAGATATTTTGATTCAACTTGGGTATAAGCAACAAGAAAAAGCCATTCTCTTAGGGTTTTTATTGCTGTGAAAAACATCGTGTCCACAGCAACAGTTATAAAGGAAAATACTTCATTTGAGGGACTCACTGTTTCCTAGATTCAGTCCACTATCATCATGGTGGGGAGCATGGCAGCATCCAGGCAGACCTGATGCTGGATAAGTAGCTGAGAGTTTGACATCTTGCAGGCAATAGCAAAACATCTCTCAAACTTGATGGTATCTCAAGCATAGGAAACCTCAAAGCACATCCTCACAGTAACACCTTTCCTCCAACAAGGCTATACCTACTCCTACAAAGCCACACCTCCTCTCTCTCTCTCTCTCTCTCTCTCTCTCTCTCTCTCTCTCTCTCTCTCTCTCTCTCTCTCTCTCTCTGTGTGTGTGTGTGTGTGTGTGTGTGTGTGTCTGTGTGTGTTCCTAAATATACTCAACCATCCCAGTCTTTATAATATTATTTGTAAGTATGTTTTTAGGGCTATACAATATTGGAAAACCTATTGGTGTACTCTTGTCTCTATGTCTATTTCTCCCAATATCAGCTCCTTAGTTGCTTATAATCTTTTCATTAGAGTTGAGTGAATGTTTGTTTATTTAATTATCTATTGTTTATTTATTTATTTTGGGTTGTTTGAAACAGGTTTTCTCTGTAACTAGCCCTGGCTACCCTGGCACATGCTCTGCATATAAGGCTGGCCTCAAACTCGTATAGATCCACCTGCCTCTGCCTCCTGAGCTCTGAGATTAAAGGTATGTGCCACAAAAGTGTGTGCCATAACCACCCAGCTTTGAATTTATGTTCATTAATATAAGATCACAGTAGACATTTTTTAATGTTGATAAATATATTTACAAATATGACTACTGATTAAATTATCTCTTAATCATTTTATTGCTTTTCAGTGACTTTGTGCAAAATCATATGCTCTTACTTTTTAATCAAAATTAATGCATTACTCTGTTAATTTTACAGAGTTGTACTTGTTGTAATTGCTATACATTGTTAGCTTGATTTTATTTAAAACCATATGAAAGACACAGTTAAAGAGTCAAAGGGTGTTTCCACAGAGGTGTAACTGAGGAAAAAAGATTCACATTTCATGTAGATGGCACACTCCCATGGATTGCAAGTCAGCAATGATTAGAACAATAAACAGAATAATACAGTACACCCCAAGATAACCAAAGTCTGCATGCTTCTGGATATACCCATATGGGAGACAACAATAAAAATAAGAGAACAACATTAGAGATTCATTGCAACATTGTTACTACCTAGGGCACAGAGATGCTGCTATAAACCAAATTCTCCTTGTTTTGAATCCATAGGAGGGTATTGGAATGTAATGTTTACTTTGTGCCAAAGTATAATGGAGGGTGTAACTATTTATTTAACAGGCATTAGAAGTCACTGATTATTCTTAGTTGTTAAATGTTGGGACATACAAAAGCATTAATATAGTTAATATTTGGGGGATTCTTATGGCTCAGTGGTAAAGATCACTTTCTGCTCTTGCAAAGGATCTGAGTTCAATCCACTGAACCTAAACAGGTAATTTATAGCTCTCTGCAACTTATAACCCAGAGTATCTGTCACCTACTTCTGGTCTCCACAGCCACATGCACTCATGTGCACATACACACAGAAGTGCCCAGGCACACATAATAAAAATAAATATTTTAAATATTTGGGATATTCTAAACAAAACATTTTGCATCATGGCACACCAGAACCTTTGAGAAACATAGATGCAATATTAAAACTTGAAAGTGATATTGTCATTCTCAAGTTGAGAAAAGGTAGACATAAAAAGGTTGACCTTCATGTTCAATTGGCCGAGATACAGTCAGATAGGAGAAACATTGCTTTGTGAATCTTTCATTGGTTAGAAGAATAATTTGTGATATCCATATTTCCTATTTTGAATGAGTTTATGACGTAATGAATTTGAAGAGAGTGAGAGACAGATAGAGGCAGAGACCGAGAGAGATCATAAAATAGGTTATTCAAATCATCCAATAGAAGCTGACTGGATAAGCCATTTTCTATCAGATGAAGTTCCTACACTGACAGAGTCCTGTAGAGGGCAAAGTATCCTTTTAGCTAGCAATATCAGTAACATAGTTATTAAAAAACAAATAACACCAGACAAAGAGCATTATCAAATTTTATCAAATCAGGTTCTCAGAAGACCCAGCAGAAACCAACTAGAGAATCTGAGGCAGGCAACTGGAGGTCCACTTGAACTTTCTCTCTATGGATGAGTTCCCAATGCCTCACCTTCCCATGGCTCAATTTCCATCAGTTCCTTCACATTGCAGGAGATACTTCTGTATAAAGGAGTAGACAGTAGCAATATCTGTTGGAAATCGTTTACCATCTATTCTAATGGATTTTACTCTTGCATTGCATTGCTCTTCTCTTCCATCTGTACCATAATTAATGGTATATGTCATCCCCGGACCTTGGATCACACTAGGAAAAAAATCTTGTTTGGATCAGAAATGGTATGTGTGGGGGGTGGTGAGTGGAATGTATGGGGAATCCTACTTTCACAGCTAGTTTCTCAGTAAACATCTCTCGGGAACTTATCAGCATAATTATTTTATAGTGAATCTATGGAAACAAATTTCATAGAGGTTATCTGATGAGGAACCGATCAAAGCGAGGTTGATCCTATAACATCCTCTGTGTGACTAGGTTGAATAAAATGGGAAATCCTGAATGTAGCCTCCCTTAAGCCCACTCTGCCCACCATCCTCCTGTTCTCTTCCCCTGATCCACTACTTTCCATTTCCCTTCAGAAAAGAGAAGGCCTCCCAGGGATTTCAACTGAATAGGACATAGAGATGTGCAATAAGACTAGGCACATACCCTCATATCAAGGCTGGATGAGGCAATCCAGTGAGAAAAATGGTGGTCTCAAGAGAAGACAAAGAATCAGAGATACCTCCACTCCCACTGTTAGAAGTCTCACAAAATCTCCAAGGGAAACAACCAAAGTATGTATATAGAGGACCTACTGAAAATATATGCATTATCTGTAAGTAGATTAAAGAGATTTAACCTGTGTTTACATGTACATTATGTTTATTTTGTTTCAAAAAGAGACACATTTCATATCAAGATTAAGGTATGAAAACAACAAGTTGAGAAATATATCCTGACAGGAATGAAGCTATTCTAAAGAGCCACCTGTAGCCCCTGCTCAGCTACTAGACTGCTGAAACACTGGACTCTATAGAATTGAAATTTCCCAAGATATCTAATGCGAGAGATGAATTGGTCTAACATAAGGGAGAGCCTCTCGGGGTGGGTGGGTGGGCGGGGGATATGCTCTCTTAGAAATATTTCATTCATTTCTTTTCACTAAGTCAGTTCCTTGATAATTGTATATACACATAAAATGTAATCTGGTTACTCTGTGCCTACACATTCTCTACCTCTCTCTCACCAATCCCCATTCCTCTTCCTGCCTGTCCTGTCCTAGAAACATGAATTTTGGTTTAGTTTCATCATCTTTTTAGCTTAATTGGCACAATCTGTGTGACCATTGGATTTGAACTGTCCAGAGCAACAATTACTCATGGGTACACAGCTGAAGACAATGACTCCTCCTCTAGCTGAATCTACCCACAGAAAACAGACAGACATAGTACATTCAAAGAACATTTTTATGTATGAAGATTTCACTGAAGAAAATAATCTCAAGGACTAAAATGTAGAATGAATCCAGTTGCTTTTAGCCAGATTGGTGGAGAATAAATGGGACATATACACAGATTAGAATATCATTCATCCATTGAAAGTAAAGAATTTTTGACATGCACAGAAATGGGACAGAATTGCAGATAAAGCTGTATGTCCTGGATTAAATGAAATAAGCCTGACACATATAAAGTAAATATCACATCTTCACAGTCATGTGGGGAATGATTATTTTACAGAAGAATGAAGTAAAATAATTCACTGTAGACTAAGAAGGGCAGGAGAGAAACAGCAGAACATTCAATAAGGGGCAACAGGTCCCAGTCAGTGAAAAAGATGGCTGATACTTTTGAGTACATTAAGGCAACTATAAAATAAAACATTCTAACACACATCTCAGAGTAAACAGATAATAAGAATATAAAATTATCAATACATAGATTTGATTAATATTTGAGGAGTTTCTTTTTAGTGTTATGTATTTTTTGAGATTGGATTTCTCTATGTAATGCTTGATGTCCAGGAACTTGTTCTGTAGACCAGGTTGGACTTGAATTCACAGACAAATTTGTCTCTGCTCCTGAATTCTGCAATTAAAGTTTTGTGTCACCAAGCCTGCCCAATATTTGAGGAGTTTAAATGTTCATTAGTTAATTTGATTGTAGTACATTGTAAATATTCCTGAATTTATTTAATGGAGTTCATAAAGAAGCACAGACATGTCCTCACTCTACTGAGCAATAAGTGTGATTGGATATTTCAGATGGTATGACATGAAGCCATGTGAAGATCATAACATTATTGTACTTCATATAGGATTAATAAATTCTACACTGATGCTCTAGTAAAGCTAAGAAATACTTTCCTGAATTAACTTTATTTCATGACTTTTATTTTGTTTTGTTTTCAAAATCTTGACTAAGTAAGAATATAGGAATGTTTCACCATTCATGGTTAAATGTCATTTTTAAAGCACTGTTAAAGTGTCCCCAGAAAACATACTCATGCACTGGATAAGACCTTCTGTAAAGCTTTCAAATCAGAGCATGATTATAAAAGTAGGTTATGCAAATAGAGCCTCCCTCTACCCATGAAAAGGAGCCCAGTCCTGTCCTCAGCTCTGACAGAGGAGCCCATACCAGGATTCCTAGGTTTTCCCATCAGTGATTAGCACTGAGTGAACAAAGAATATATAACATGGAGTTCAGGCTCAGCTGGGTTTTCTTTCTTGCAGGTCTAAAAGGTAATTTATGGAGAGATGTGTATAGTGTGAGTGGACATGAATGCAAAGGATAGTGGCCTTGTGTGACAGATTTCTGAACACGTTTTTTTGTGTTCACAGGTTTTTGGTGTGAGATGCAGCTGATGGAGTCTGGGGGAGGCTTAGTGCAACCTGGAGGTTCTTTGACACTCTCCTGTGCAGGCTCTGGATTTACTTTCAGTAGCTATGACATGGACTGGGTGCGCCAGGCTCCTGGGAAGGGGCTAGAATGGGTATCAGGGATTGATATTGGTAATGGTCAATATTATGCAGAATCTGTGAAGGGTAGATTCACCATCTCTCGAGACAATTCTAAGAACTCCCTGTACCTTCAAATGAACAACCTGAAATCTGAGGACAACGCCATGTATTACTGTGTGAAAGAAGCACAGTGAGTATAATTCAATAAGAACCCAGACAAAATCTTCTCTGCAAAGCACTCAGGACCAAGAGGGGACATGTAGTGAACATAGAGCTGACTACCAGCTCAGAGCAGGTGCAGAGCAAGGTTAAAGGATGGCTTCCTGTGAGGGTCTGGGGTTTCCCCTTCACATACCAGATCTACCCAGTAGATCATGGATTGAATATTTTGAGCTGCTCTCTAGTTTTGGCATTTACAAATTTTATTTTAATGATATAATACATTTTTATCTCACAAATTCCTTAACAGTCCACCAGTAACTTAGCAGCTTTTATAAGACTAGAACTTTACATTCCCTCCCTGTCCGTTTAGTCATAAAGATAATGATTCTAAATTGAAGCTCTTCTAGTATCAACATAAACCTTTTAAATCATATTCATCAAACATTTGTTCCCACTTATCTAAATTTCTAGAAGCTTGGTCTTGGACATTTAGCAAAGATATAAATACTTAGGTGTAAATCTCTAAGTAGCTTTTTTAAATCTGAATAGACCTTTATAACCTTAACTTTTTTAAATCACCATATAGAGTATACTCTAAACCAGAGTTGAATAGCATATACAGTATGGTGTAACAAACCTAACCTTACATTTCTATCATTATACCACAGTCTATACCAGTGCTGTTTGTTGTTCTAGATCTGATGACAATCACTCCTTATACCTAATGTAAAGTTAGAGCCATATTTTTCTGAAATGGCTTATTTAGAACTACTGTGGTTTGCAGGCCAGATTTCTGCATTTGTTTTGCTTTAATCTCAGGGGAATATTTACCTATCTATAGATACATGTATATCCTCAGACAGTGCAGGAGCTGTTATTCTGTAGTTTTCATTTACAGACACCATAGATGTGATGTCAATAACTTCTAAGAAAGAGATTTGGACTTTTCTATGAAACTCTTAATAGCTAAGTGCTTTAATCCTGTCTTCATAAAAGGTCAATCATATATAATCCTGTAACCCAGAGGGCTGTAACATGATGATTAATTATTAACCTGTATTTTTAATTATAATATATATAAAAAATAGGTTTTTCGAGACAGGGTTTCTCTGTGTAGCTTTGTACCTTTCCTGGAACTCGCTTTGTAGACCAGGCTGGCCTCAAACTCACAGAGATCCACCTGCCTCTGCCTCCTGAGTGCTGGGATTAAAGGTGTGTGCCACCACCACCCAGCATACATTATATTTTTAAATAAGTCTGAAATGGAACCTCAGTTCTCCTCTCTCCTTTAAGTAGCATAGACCCATTTCTAACATAAACATTTTGCAGTGAAGAATTGTGGTGCTATATTGTGTCCCCCAAAATATTGTGCACCCTAATAAAGCTTATCTGAGGATCAGAGGAAAAAGCTAGCCACTATATTAAACATAGAAGTCAGGCAATGGTAGCACACACCTTTAATCCTAGCATTTGGGAGGCAGAGATCTATCTGGATCTCTGTGAGTTCAAGGCCACACTGGGGAACAGAGCCAGGCATGGTGACACACCTTTAATCCCAGCACTAACCATAGATGTTTGGAGGTTTGTACAGACAGACAGGAAGTGATGTAGCTGGACAGAGAGAGGAAATGAGATGCAGAAGAGAAAGGCATATAGGTGTGGGTATACAGGAAGAAGGTCTCTTTGGCTGAGGATTTCCAGTTGGTAAGAATGTGGCTGGCTTCTTTCTGCTTTTCTGATCTCTCAGTTTTTACCCCAATATCTGGGTCCTGTTTTTTATTAATAAGACCGTTTACCAATTGTCTTACAAAGAATCATCTGCTTTTCTTTTAAATGAAGAAAACCAACCAGAATTAACCTAATATGGTTAAATTTCCTACATATTTTATGGTTTCTTTTCAAATTCAGTATTTACAGGTATGAAGACTCAAAGCAAATATACTTCACATACCCTCTGGACTTTTGTAACTTTCTACGTATCATCAGGTCAGGTTTTTTTTTTTTTATCTCCATTCCTCTGATTTGGCCAGACACTTTTACTTTAGACAAATTCCTATTTCCCTTCCCTTCTCTTCATTATTCCAGTATCCTTCCTTCTCTCTTGCTTTCCAGACAACACAAGGGTTTCCCTCAGTAGTCTAGAATATCATAGTGCTACAATATTTTAAACAAGAACAGAAGTATATATTTGCCATAACAAAAATAGCTCTAAATTTGCATCAACATAAAAACCTGTACCAACGTGAAGCATCTGAGACTAGCAATAATTTTTTTCTTACTATAACCAATAACAATTTGTAACCAACCCCTCTAAGCTGTAAATTGTATCAACCTTTTAGTCCTGAGAGAGTGCAGCTCTCCAAGCCCATCTCACTGGTCATGGAATTTTTCCAAAACTTCTCAGTGTTGCACAATCCCCACCACCACCACTCTTGACCCACAGGGCCAAACCTCGGCCAGGCCCAGATAGAAGTGATGTTCTTATGGTGGGCAGCACCAGGGATGGGCCATGGGAGCCCCATTCAACAACAAGCAAGGGAGCAGAGCACTGCAGAGCTGGGAAGGCAGGTTCTCTGACACAGGCAGTCACTCTAGGACCCTTGTGGGAGCCTTGAATGGACAGAAAGTGACTCCCTTCCTACTTGCCTGCATGAGAAGGTCTTCCCACAGCCCCATCTCTGGCCCTGTCACTTCAGCATGCAAGGGACAAGCCCAGCTCCACCTGCCCATGCTGCCTGCTCTGTGGGTTGGAGAGTGATGGAGGGAAGCTGACTCTTTTCAATGAAATGTTCTAGGGGGGTAGAGGTGGTTCACTTCATCCCTTCCAGGAAAATAAAGGAGGTTAGTAAACAGAAACACAGAAACAGATAACAATGACACAGACAACCAGATATCCACACCTCAGATCAGGGAAGATGGCATATCTTACTCCCAGTGAGCTCCATCTATCAGACAGCCTATCTGACAGGAGAGACCTGTGAATCCCAGTTCAACCAGGGGGACCCTCAGTCACAGTTCAACCAAAGGGACCCAGTTGCTTCCAGGTGAGTAACAGATGTCTCCTGGGCCCATGCAGCAGGGTTGCTTCTAGAGCAACTGTCAAACAAAACCCAGCCTCCAGATTCAGTCAGCTGGAGCTTCTCAGAGAAAGAAACACAGAACATGGAACAGAAGAGTGACAGACAGAACAAAATGACACAAAATGACCGACCAAGACTAAGAGCACTCACTGTTACACTTCCCTGCAGGCTGGGATTTTTGCTTACATGTCAGGAGTCTTGAGGGGACTTCCCTACCAATGGACCATATACTAGGGTCTGCAAGAAGTCCTCAAAAGACCACCAGTCATGATGCAATCAGCAAGAACTTTATTAAACCACATGCATGTGATATTGCTCACCTGTACAAAATGGTGATGACCTTGAAAGGGATGTGTAAGCTCCCTTTAAGCATAGCCCAGGGAAGTTCCCAAGGTAGCTAGGTCATTTGATATGATTGGCTTAAGCAAGTGGCAATCATATTAGTACATTCTAATTTTCTAGGGTTAGTCAGGGGCTGGTTAAACTTAAAGCTTTTCCATTTTTGGGCAGGCCTGGACCAGTAAGTCCCCAAGCCTTATCCTTATTTGGCTATCACCTGTTTGGAGGAGGGGTTTGTCCAAGGGTCTACTTCTACTGAGTTATTAGGGGTCTGTCATGATATTTGCCTGGCCCTCTCACCAACCATATGGAATTCTAGGAAGCTGTTTGTGTAAATGGCAGAAAAAGGTATGGGGACATAAAAGTCTGTTGAAAACAAGAAAACTTCATTATATACAGTATGAGATCACAAAACTGAGAACAAGGAATGAAAGCAGGTGGTGTGTTGAGCTCAGAGAGAAAGAAACAAATGTGAGTCTGTGAATATAGAAGGGAAGTGAACAAAAGCAAGAGGGTTGGAAGCAGGCAGATTTGAAAGTGAGTATTACCAGATTCAAAATTTGGAATTGGGGCTGGAGCGGTGGCTCAGAAGTTAAACATACCGCCTGCCTGCTCTTCTGGAGGTCCTGAGTTCAACTCCCAGCAACCATATTGTGGCTCACAACCACCATGTGTAATTAGATCTGATGCCCTCTTCTGATGCATAGCCATGCATGCAGGTAGAACATTCTATACATCATAAATAAATCTTACAAAAAAGAAAAGAATTGGAATTGGCATGTGTCTTCCAGTTTCTGTTGCTGCAAAGAGACACAAGACTGTAGTGCCTGGTCTTGGGTACAGCATGCAGACGTCTCTGACTTGTGAGCTCATGTCCCTTTGTGATCACTAGCACTCTATAACTGAATTCTGCTGGTGTAGAGGCCTTCCCAAGGTATATGTGCATATGCTACTTTTCTTTTGCTTTCATAGAACACTGTGACCAAAAGCCATTTAAGAAAAAGAATTTTTATTCTAGGTTGTGACTTCAGAAAGACAGAAGTCATTACACAGAGGAGAATAGCAGCAAGTGGTGGACACGGTGACAGGATAAGGAAGTTGAGAGATCACAAGCACAAGGTAGAGTTGGATGAGGCTATGAACTCTCAAAGCCCACCCTCAGTGATGTAGTTCAGCAGCGAGGCCACACCTCCTAAACCTTCCCAACCATGGCCACCAACTGGGGCCAAGTATTCAAAAGCCTGAACTTATAAGAGACATTCTCACTCAAACCACCCATTTTTCTGTCCCAGAGCCCTTGGAATGACAGTATCTACCCCCTAAAATTGATCTCACAAAGCCCTCCTTCCTTCTTGTGAAGAAAAATTAATATGTTTTCTTCTGATCTCTTAATTATCAACAAATAACAAGCATTTTTATTAAATAATGATTCATCTGAGAATCACATTATTTTTGTATATAAATTTATGCCATCTGTATGACAAACTCAGGTCATCTGAGTACAATTTTATAATTTGGACAACTGTTTCTTCTGTTTTATGACTGATGATCAGGCTTGTAACTCCCTCAAGCCACATGAGTGGCCAGGCCCCTATCCTTAGGACCTCTAACTG